CCGCCGCCGCTCGCCCAGGTCCCCGGTCCGCCGGCCCCGACCCCGCTCCTCAGCCTCTGCCGCCGCCTCGGAGCGCCTCTGGCCCCTCTCGCTCTGTTTGTTTTTGTTTTGTTCTACCCAGTAACACGGGGGCGACAGAGCGGCGTTTATTGGCCTAGACTAAGAGGTCCGCTAGCCAATCGCAGCGGCGGAGCTGGAGCCCAGGAGGAAAAGGGAGGGAAGTGAAACGTGGAAAGTTGGGGGGGGGAGGGTGCAGGAGGGCGCCTGCGCATTAGGCTCCTCGCAGTGAAGGGAGTGGGAACCGAGTGGGTAGTCCCAGCTCCGGGTTGTTGGGAGACAGCGCCCGGATGAAAACTGAGCAAAAGGGTTGAGCCTGGGGTGGGGAGCTAGGATGAGGCTTCCTTGACCCAGCTCACCCATTGCCTCCTCAAAGCGTTCACCAGACTCGGCTGTAGCCAAGGCTTTAGTCTTCCTGAGGGTCCCTGACTCCATTTCTGGACAACCTCAGGGGAATAACCCCAACCTCTCCAGTTCCTTCGCCCAGCGGCCCTTGCTTACTCCTTGGCTCCTACTGTGTGCAGCGCTCCTCCCCCCCCCCCTCGTAAGTTTCTCTCAGTGAATGCCCACAACCACTGGAAAATACCTTGGGAATTACTGATTGAACCTCAATTCTGATTTTTACTGGTGCAGAAACAGAGATCCTGAGAGGGGCTGAAGTTTTTACAGAAAGTTAGTGGGGAAGCTGAAATTAGAACCCCTTTTCCTGATTATCTGGCCCAAAGTGGGATGCCAGACATCATGAGTATGCTTGAGATGATGGACAAAAAGGATGTGAACCTTTTACTCCCTTATGAGTTCTTTTGGAGTAATTTGTTAAAATGGGGAAAGTGTTTTGGATGCTCTTTTAAAAATGGCAAATATATTCTAGTCTTATGTAATAAATCTTAGGATATCTGCTCCACACAGCATTGTTATGACACTGGTGCTTAATAATGTGCTAAATGAGCACGAGCAAGTAAATGGAAGCACCTAGCAGGAGCTAAGAGAAGGTTGTTTGCAGGAAGGAAGAAGGAAAGGGTCAAAAACTAAAATCAAGTGAGAAGTAAAAATATGGAGAAAGAACGTTGGTTAAAAAAAAAAAAAAAAGAGCCTCTCAATGGAAAGGAGACTGGGGAGGAAAAGCCGGCTGCAGATGATGGTAAAAACAATAAAAGAAAACTGAGTGTCTGGGAAGCTCAGATTTTAAAATGTGAACATGACTCATGAGGCTAATTCAGAGGCCCTTGTCTAATAGATGGGGATGACTACCAACTGCTGAGAACTTTTGTGAATTCATATCAAGGTGTATTCATTGCATGGGTGCAGGAAGTGTATGAGGTATTTTCTTGGGCACCACAACAATGAGTGAGACAGATCTTGTCCTCATCAAGGTTACATTCTGTTAAGAAGAAGAGCTAGGACAGGGAGTCATATAAAATAATGCCAGGTAAAATGTGATCAGTACTTCCAGTACTTTGAGAAATCATGGAGGACTGGAAAACAGATCATGTAAATCATGAGGGGAAAAAAAAAGACTGAGGGTAGGGCATGAGGCATGAACAGGATCGTACCAGGCAGAGATGAAGTAAGAACAGGAGCATTTCAAGGTGATATGATAAAGGAGATGGGGAAGCATATGGAGCAGTGAGTAATCTTAGTGGGTTGCAGTAAATGTGGGTACATACTGGGAAGAGTGTGAAGACACGTGGCCAGAAAGCCTTCAAGTCACCCTGTGGGGCCTTGAATGTTTGGCTGACACTCCAGAGGTGATGAGAAACTAGTGAAGGATGTTTTTCGTGCAGAGAAATAATAGCACTAAAGGTGATATGTAGACAGGATGAGACTGGTAAAAAAGTGTAAGTCCAAGAAGGAGAAAGCTGGTCTGGGAGGAGGCATTTACCATCTGGAGAGACCAACACACCACTCAAATACTGCCCATTAGACAGTGGGAAAATCCGGCCTGAGACAGTGGCTGAGTCCAGAGAGCAGAGAGACAGCTTAAGGTTCTGGTCATTACTTCAGAAGATAGCAACCTAGAAAGAATGAGGAAAATAAAAGACAAAGAGAAGGCATGCAGGAGGAACAGTCAGAAAACAGCCTTGAAATTCCAAATGTGTGCATTTGAACCCCAGCAATCTGCCTAATTTGCAAAGGAACTTCAAAGAGTTTTTGAATTTCTTTATTGTGAAATGGGAATTATTTCTATCTCAAATGTGAAATGCCCAAAGCAACACAATTAGGGGCAAAATCAATAACTTCAGAGGTGAAAAACAGAACTATCTCCTACTCTTGATCCCACACACTCGAACAAGCCAAACACTCTTTCCCTTTATGCACTGTAACAGAGCCTTAGTAGATATCATGTAAAAAATGAGGGAGGGATTGTTCCATGGCCAAAATCTTGGAAAGAACCTCTTTTAACAAACTTACAACTTTCTTTCCTTCAACTCTTCCCAGTATCTTCAATAAACTATGCACCTTTAGACTCTTGGGGGACAGGTTGGCAAACTTAATGTTTTACATTTTATTTGAACACATAATCTTTTTCTTCTTTCCCTCAGATAACCCAGAATTAGTTTTACTTAGAAACCAGCTTGGGAAACATAGATGACAGCAACTGTGACCAACATTCCTTCCAGCTGTATTGAAGAACCCTGGTCACCTATGCCTTTGTATCTAAACATTTTTTAAAAGGATTAAAAAAAAAAAAGAAGAACAAGCTGAAAGTGGAAAAATGTCCAACTGCCAAGAATTTTGGCCTACCAAGTCAATCCACAAATATTTATTGTGTGCCTATTCTGTGAAAAGCACAGAGTTGATCCAGCTGTGTTCTTGGAAAAAGACAGAATTATTCTATCTTAGGATAGGTAATGCCTAAAGCCAAGGGCTGCCCATGTTCTGGGCCACAATGTACATTTTCATTTCATATTATAATCATTCATGAACAAGCTTTCCATTTCTTATAGCCCTGAGCCTGTGGGCTTAATCTTGATTTAGCTGTTGGATAAGAGAAGAGAATGCCTCCCTTTACCTCATTCTGTTCAGAATGATGGAATTGCAACTTCATTTCCCTGCAAAATGACTCACTCCAAGGACTGAGGAGAGGAAGGGCCACCACAGTCATCCAAGAGGAGAGAGCTGTTCAGAGGCAGCAACAGGTATACCTCATCTTCCCCATGCACCTCAGGTTCAAACACTGTTACAGTGCATAGAGGGAAAGAGTGTTTGGCTTGTTCACATGTGTGGGATCAAGGGTAGGAGATAGTTCTGTTTTTCACTTCTGAAGTTATTGATTTTGCCCCTAATTGTATTGCTCTGGTCATCTCACTTTTCTTCCCTAGATAGATCAGTTGAATAAGCTGTGTTCTAGACTATAAAACACAGATTTGCCCACTGTGGGGGGGTGGGGGGGATTTGGAGAGCTGTTCCAGTTCTGACATTCTGAGATGCTGGGCAAGGTACTGAGCACAACGGGAGTTCTTTGAACAGGAGTCAAGATGAATTTGCCACTGGTGGCAGGAGAGGATTCTGTGCGCTATAGACAGAAAAGTACTGTCACTCTCAAGAAGGGGCTTTCTCTGGATGCAGAGCTTAGATGATATTACCTCCCTCATCCCAAAGCTGGGAATGATGGATGACTGTTGTAAGGTTTGGAGTGCTAATGAGTTAATGTAGGTAAAGTACTTGGAAATGCACAGATGAAAAGCAAAAGATAAGCACCTAGAATTACTAGTATTGTCCTTAGAACTCTCTCCAGTCTTCATGCTTCAGGCAAAGCCCCATTTTGAGAACTCTGATTCTTAGTAAACACTGTTCATGTGCTCACATGAGACTGAGAAGAGGCCATCTTTCTGAAGACTGAGGGTAGGTCCAGTCAGCCTCTGTCCAAAGAACTTTGAGATGCTGCTGCCATTTATAATGTCTTCATCTACCTGAACTGACATCCTGCTTCCTTTTATCAAACCAAGACCTGGATTTTATGAATTCCTATTTAGCACAAATAAAAAGAAAATGAAATATGCTATGAAGAAAGAGCTGCAAAAAGAATTCTAAGGAAAGCTAGCATTTGTGTTTTAAGGCTTACTGAGCACTTTCACATACACTTACACCACCTCCCTATGAAACAGACAAGATTGTGCATGCTTTAAACATGAAGGAAATGGGGCTTAAGCAGGTCTCTGGTAATCACGAAACTTTTATGCTGAAAGGAAATTTGGGGGTTCTCTAACTCAAATTCTTCATTTTACAAATGGAGGAATAGAGACCCAGAGAAATTTAGTGTACCACCCAAACCCACACAATTGGTCACAGCATCATGATGAGCCACAAGTGTAAATGCCATTTCAGTATACCAGCCTTGTAGGGATCCTAGGGGCAGGGAGAATCCAGACCTTCTAGCACCCAGGCTGGGCTGGATTCTTTCTGTCACTCAGCCTTGAGTCTCTTGAACACAAGTCAAATATTTGAGCCCAGTTCTGGTTCTCATAGCCTCCCTGTATCAGATGAATCCATTTTAAGGTCCTGAAATAAGAAAGAGAGAGAGAAGGAGATGGAGAGAATTTATATGTTCAGAAAATGTTCATGGGGCATTTTTAAGAATCTCTTTCCTGGAGTAAAGAGCGTGGAGTATGTGAAGCATAGCACAAAGAAGTACATGCAATATTTTAATATAGTGCCAAGAGGTATTGAAAGAATAATATGGTTTTACTTCCCCAATCAGGTTTCAAGGAGTTTTCTGGATGCATTTGTCTTTTGTGGGTTTTATCTCCGGCCATATCACTCCTGCTACTTAAGGATTTAGTAAGCTTACTTAAGGTAGAAGAACTCCAGCAAGACATCTTTCCCCAAAAAGCCCATAAATTTTTTCGACATCTCCTATACCTGGCCTGAGTTCTAAGCCTGTGCAAAAGCTTCTCAGACTTTTGCAATCATGGTCCAATCAACCCCATGCTCTTCAGTGTTTCATATAACCGCCACACCCTACATTTGATTATGATTAGTTGTGCTCCTCCAATTGCATTGTAGGGGGCTTTATTTGCATTCTTCTGGAACACTGGGTCCTTGGCTAGGCTTCACACATCTCAGACTTAACCTTCTCTTCTCCAATGAGCCCTAATCGCACATAACTACCATATGCCCTCTTCCCCTCTCTGTGTTTGCACAGTTTCTGCTTGCCTCCTAAATATCATACACAGCTAGAGCCATGGGATAGAAATAAGGGCCTTTTCCTGCTGGAACATAAGAGAAATAGATGAACTGTGATTAAGAGAGCCAGCTCTACAGAGAGAAGGGTGGAGAGGAGGCTTGAGAGGTAAATACTAGTTAAAAGGGAACACACAAAGAAAAAGAAGTTAACAGATCAAACCTATATTTATTTTGATTAAAAAAATAAAATAAAGTGGTTGAAATAAGAGAACCAGGAAAGCCAAGGGAGATTTTTGTTTGTTTGTTTTTTGTTAAATGTTTATAATAAAAATACAGTCATTCCTATGAAAAAAGGTTCTGAGAGATGACCTAGTTGAGGCAAACTTGTTCAGATTACAGATAAACAACACAAACTGAGATCCAGAGAGGGGAAACAATCTGGCTCCAGGCAAGTTACAGTTAAAACCATAGCATCTGATCCCATTACTGAAGCCACCGTCCTTTTCCCATATGATTCTCTGCTTGTGCCTTGTTCTTCTGTCCTTTCTCTCTTTCTCTCTTTCTTTCTTTCTTTTTCTATCCACAAAGCTAGCAGGGCAGCTTTCAGAAAGAAAAACTAAGAACTAAGACTGGTACTTTTAAAACACAGCTCCAGGAAATCCCTAAGTTCTGCAACTGAGCACAAATAAGGACATGACTGGCAACTCTTCAGCACAATTGACAAAGCCAACAACAACAGGAACTAGCTGACAACAAGCCATCCTCCAAAACCCAAGAATTCAACGGAAAGAAAAAAAATAACTGCTGAGGGGCAAGTGAAAATTTTACCACCATTTCTTGTGTTTTGTGTTGGTGTGTGTATGTTGTTGTTTTCAGAAAGTTCTCTGGGAGCAATGAATCTAGGCTGGTAATTGATTGATGGGCTTCAGAGGGCACATGAATACCGTAAAGTTTTATGCAATTTTTATAACAAATGTGCATCTGATCTCATAACAGTTCCATAATTTTTTATAAGGTGCCATAAAGGGTCATATCCACAAAGAGATCAGGAACTTCTAGAAAATTTCATGTTACTGCTGCGTTTGAGCCCATGTTTAGAATAAGCATCTCACCAGGAGAAGCCACCAAACTTTATTTTGTGTGTCAAATTAGATGTAAAATCAAAATGTGTTCAAAGTAACCACAACAGCAAAACAAAATAAAATTGACTTTTAGGACAGTAGTGGTCCTAAAAAGAGATGGAAATGCCATCTCATTGATACCTCATTCTGGTCAGGTATGGCAGCTACCTTCCATTATGGTTGACCTCAATAGGTCAGAAATAAAAGCTGAATCTCCCCAAATTTCCTAAACAGAAGTCACAGCTCCATCACCCATGAATTTATTGTTAAAAATTATTGAATTTATCAAAGAGAGAAAGCACAGCATACGGTCTCTCACATGGTGCTCCACAGAAGAGTCTCCCACTTCCATAAAAAGGTGCTAGGATGAAGTAAGTTTAGGAAAACTGCTTATCATCTCTTGACATGGAAAATTACAATGTCATAAGTAAACCCCTGTGATTTTCTTTAACTCCATGTTTGCTGAACTTACTTGGACCATGGCACTCTTTGTGCTTGTTTATTAATATCTTATAAAATACTTTGGGAAACACCAATTCAGTAGAATGGGATCTGGGCTAAAAGGCCAGAGGCCGTTTATTCTGCAATTAACTGGATGTGTGGCCTTAGTTCTTTTAACTACTCTGAAGCTGTAGAACTTAAAAGGTCTCCCAGGTGCTCTCTGGAGCTGTGAGATTTTGGGTTGGCTGATGGTCTAAGATTCTGCTTATAGCCATCTGTGATGATTATACTTCTTTCTATTTAGGAAGTGTGTGGTACAATGATTTTGCTTATGAGTTACCTTCTTTTAAGAACTCTTTGGAGGGACAAGGCAAATGTCAAGGCAGTAGAACCAAATGGAATCAACACAGTAAAGTTGGGTCAGTGTTATTCACTGTGATGAATACATATAGTAGGCTCAAAACCACAGACTTTAACAAACACAGGCTGCTAACTGTTGGCCGGGGCATTGATGGAACTGGTTTTTACAAACTATACAAGCTCTTTAAAGCCAGAAAGATTTTACAAGCCATGATCACATGATCTTAAAGAGCAAATGCTTCTTTTCAAAGGACCAAAGTTATTCTGAGAGGAATTGTTACTCTCTGGGAGAATTCCCTATCTCAGAGGAAAGGAGCTGATTACAGCTCACTGTCAAAGATGTTCGAGTGAGTAACAGCCCTAACAGTAGCTCTCTCAGGGAATACTAGAGGCCTGGGAATACTTGAAGTCCCACCTGTGAAGTGTCTTGAGCTCTTGCATAATCAGAGGGGATCTAGCCTAGGGTGATGCATTAAGACTATATGTGCTTTCTGCATCCAAGGCATAGGAAGCTCTATAAAATTTCTGCAGGCATGGGGAAGACCTTTTAAAAAGCAGAGGCCCTAAGGCTGCAGGGAACAGGGCCATAGATAAGTTGGTACTTGTCCTGTGGAAGGACTTTTTCCCAGCCACTACTGTAGCAATATATGTGACCTTGTTTCCAGGTGGGCCCACATGTTCAAGTGTGTAGTTTTCCTACCTCATATAAGGAATCTTTCAAAAACGAATCCATCTTACCGCCCTTTGCTCCTTGGTGCCTCATGAAATCTAAACAGTTTAGCAAAACATACTTACGTGTTCCCTGGTGAACTCTGCCTTATGTTGAAGCCTGGTCTCAACAAATGAAATACTAGTTTTGAGCAAGTTACTTCACATTCTCTGACCCTCCTTTTCCTTACCTGTAAAATAGAATACAGTCCTTGTTGTGCTAGGGCTGTTGTTAAAATGAAATAATATTGGTAAAGTACTTAGTAGGATGTTTGCCATATCATAAGTGCCTAATAAGTATACTTTGATTGCTATGGATATTATTTCTACTTATTGAATTCTGACTGATCCTTCAGACTTGGGCAAAATACTTCCTGTGAGAAGTTTTCTCCAGACTAGGGTGGAGTGAAGAGTCTCCCATTATTTGCCTCTGTGTTCTCAGGCTGGTCTCCCAGACTGGGTTCTTTGTTTTCACACTGACTTCCCATTGGACCATAGGCTCCTGAAAGGCAAAACCCTGCTCTGCAACATGCACCTGGTATGTTCTTGTTAATAAATGTTTGGTGAAAGAATAAAGGAACTAATAAAATTTCTGTTTTCTGTACAAGAGCCCTCTGGACTCTCCTTGGAGTTTCACTTCCTGGTTTAGCTCATCATCTGCCTGTCTATCATTTGCTGGGCCTGCAGGGAGCTGTTCAAGAGAATGAAATAAACCTCAACCAGCAGCCTTCCGTGCTCACAGCTGAAGCCTGACTTTTCTGTGAACGTGCCAGAATGGGAACTGTTATAGTTCATAGGGACCCCCCAGGAATGATAAGAAGCTGGGTTTTCCAGGGCTCCCTGCCACACTGGATCCTGGGCAGAACATGCAGGCTCCACCAACTGTCTGGAGCTGGGGCAGGCCCAGGGGTCAGGCTTCTATCTTCACTGAGCCTGCTTCACCGTGGTGAGGCCTGGTTCAGAGGAAGAGCTGACAAAAATAAAACCAGAATGGCAATGAGTTATGCAGGAAGTGGCAGGTCTGGGAGCCAGAGCAGAGCACAGCTATTTGGGTGAAACACCACAAGAAAAGCTGCCTGAAGATCAAACCACAGGACAGAACCCTGACTCTATTTGCATTTGGGGGTTTCTTCTTTCAGGAGTCAAGCCCACAATGCCTGTGGTTGTCAGGTAGTTTAGGTCCAGGTTGGCCTCTGCACTAACCATCTGGTGGGGGTAAATAAATGGCCTCTCTGCACCTTGTTTGCTTCTCTGGGAGCCATTGGGAGAACTATAGAAAAAAATATATCCTAAGGATTAAGTGCCTGCATAATAAATATGTTTCTTCCTTTCTTTGCTATGAAGCACTATTGAGAATGAGAAACCTTAGTATAGACTTAAGAAGCACCACACACATATGTACACAAAACACACTCCACACACCACACACCACACACACGCACACATGCCCCCTACACATGCTAAGTTGAGAACATTTGTGAAGCAACAACTCTATATGTTCTTTCATTGGCTGCTCCCTAACTAGAAACAGATCATCTTCCCCCAGCTGTTTCTGGGCCAGAGTTCCTCTAAATGTGGATCTATTCATAGTGATTTTGTTTTCTTTTCTCTGTCCATAATCATTTGACACATTGCCTGAGTGTTCTCTGCAGCCCCAGCCTTTTGTTAATTTATAAACCTAGAAACTGAGGCAATACTTATAAAAAATCATAGGGATTCCACCATTTATTAAGTGACTACTGTATATCCAGCACACCCCATGTCTGCCTGTCCTCATTACGCTCAGCAAGAGACTGCTATTAACCTTCTCACATAACAAATGAGGAAATGGAGGCTCAGAAAGTTCACAACTTTGTCCGAGGTTTCTCAATAGTAATGGCAATAGACTATCAGCCTGAGATTTCTACTGCCCACTGTAGCCTATAGACACAAGACTCAGTTCAAGCCCTTGAGAAATTCCCGGCCGCTGCCCTGAGTACCACCCAGGCCATTGCTCTCACAGGTTTTCACTCAGGTCCTGCTTGGCCCAAGGGCCCACTGCTCCCCTTTGCCTTCTTGGAGCAGAGCCCCACTGGCAGAAGCCTGGAGGCCTCCACTTCCCCTGCCCCTACCAGTGTGGCCAACACAAACTCCTGACGAGAAAACACCATGTCCTCTGGACAAGGGCTCTCTGTGTGGTGCTCTAGTACCTGCCTGGTGACTCTTCTGTGAAAAGCCCCAGCTGGGGTAGCTGGGCAGCCAGGCCTTAGGCAGGCAGAGTTTATCAGCTTCTCCAGTGGCCTAGCCGTGAAAGACTGGAGCCAGCTGCTGCCTGCCTGAGCGCCTAGAGTGTCCCAGGCCTGGCCAGCCACAGCCATTTTCCAAAAATCCAGCAGGGAGCCAGATCTTAAGGGACCAAGGCTGTGGGCTCCTTTACAACAGAAAGTGGGCTTTGGTGTCAGTGAGAACGAGGTTTAAATTCCAGCTCTACCACCTTCTACCAGTCTGTCTTTAGGAAAATTGCTTAGGCTGCTAGGACTCCTGCTCCCTCAGCTGTAAATGAAGCTAATAACATCTACTGTCCCTAGCCTACTGCTATTTCCTTGTCCTTGAAAAGGAAGAATTGGACTTCATGACCTTGAAGTTTCTATCCTAAATGCTGTCTGTGCAGGCCAGAGTGAAAATGTCGTCCTAATTCTGAGTACAGTGGGGAATTTGGATGCCTCCTTGTTTCTCTCAGGGTGAGCTCAGTCCTGTGGGAGGGTTCCTTGTTTACCTCAACAAATTTTATTAAGCACCCCACAGCTCACGCCATACCTAAGGCCTTAGGGTACAGAGATAACCAAGCAAAGGCCCCACCCTTAAGGAACACATGGAAATGATTAGACCCATAAAAATAAGTATTATGTGCAGTGGAAAGTGATAAATGCCTTAGGAGGGGCACAGATACAAGACTACAAAGGTTGAAAACAGAAAAAGGGTGATTCCTGGCTGGAGAGAGAAGGAAAGTGGTGGTCAGTCCCTGAAGGGTCTTCACTGGTGGTTAAGACATTAGAGGGCCAACTGTTGGCACATCAGAGCCGTGGGGATTGGAGCCTTTTGTTAGTCTTCTGCCACCTGGAGAACCCAGACTGTGAAATTTCTAAAAGAGAAAGATCATTTTTCCAAAGGGCTTTATTCCCTGAATGAAACACTTCAGGATTTGCATAAAATGTGTAGTGGCCTAAAGCTGCCCCTTCATCCTGCTGTGAGTATTCTGCAGCCTGATGCCCATCCTCTCTTTCCTTTGCCCTCTCACCCAGCCCTCCCCTTTCATGAAAGACTTGAGAACAAGGCAGGTGGAGCAGGAGACAGGTGTCCAGATCAAGGAAACAGTCCTACCTCAACAGACAGGGTCCTCTGGGACCTTTGTTGCCCTGTCAGCTTGCCTTGGCCCAGATCTCAGCATTCTGGGAAGGAGTCGGCCTGTTGAGGAAAGGATATGTCAGTGGCAGTTGGCTCAAGTCACCTGGTGTGTGTGTGTGTGTGTGTGTGTGTGTGTGTTCAGGACTAGGTGTTTTGCAGCAGCTGATTTCAATCTGGGTCAGAATTGTGCAGCCCTCAGCAAGTTGCTATCTGGAGAAGATAAGCTTGAACAGTCCCCTGCAGGACTCAACTGCAGTAAACTAAGAGTCTTAGTATAAACACAGCTATTTGCCAAACTAATTCCTGATGATGAAGGGACCTGATTCATTAGCAAAAAGGATCCAGGTAGATTGTGGAATTGGTTAGGCCTCCCAGAGGGATAAGGGTCCTAAACTGGTCTACAGTCCTGGAGAGAATCCAGGAGGGCTCCTGGGGAGATCTGTCCCAGCCAGGCTTTTGGCTTATAAGGCTAAACCTCACAGGGCCATGGAGTTGAGGAAGACATGCATATTTTAGTGTTTGTTCTGTCCCTTGCTTGCCATGAGACCTGGGGTTGACCCAGGTCACTGTGTCTCATGGGTTTGCATTTCTTCATCTGCAAAGTGGGACAAATGCAGTAATACTTCATCAATGTGGAAACCAGGGAGAAAATCCTTAAGGATCTGTAAAAGAGATAACTCACCTCACCTGTCCTCTCTCTCCTTTTGCTCAGAGAAAAGCCCCTTAGATCTTCTCCTGGAGCCTGAGTTTTCTCACTTCACATAGAGTAAAGGTATGCTTGGTTTTCTGGCTTTCTGGCCTACCAGTAGATGAAAAATCATTGATTAACAGGGAGTTTGGCTGCTAGAGATCAACACACTGATTACCAATGGAAACAAACAGGAAAGCAAGGGAAGGGAAAGAAAAAAATGTAGGGAAGAAACGAGATCTTTAAAAGCCACAAGGGGCCAGTTAGTCCTAGGGCAAACAGTTGGTGCATATCAACAACTCCAGAGGCCATCAAGCCCAGGAGCCTAGTGTGATAATTGATATAAGGGCTTTCCAGCTCTCTAGTGACAGTTTAGCAAGGCAGGACTTTACAGGATATTATTTTAGGAAAATATTTTTCAAGTTAAAAATGTTTGGGGGCTTATATGAGGAAACTCTAACATGCTGAACCTCTAGATATCAGAAAATACCTAAGTCTTCCACAAGTGCTCTGGAAGTCAAGGTGGTTATGCCAGTTCTCCTACATATCAGAGTTTGGCCCATGTAACAAATCAAATAATAGAGATGTAGGTACTACTAAAAAGGTCTAAAACATTATCCAAATTATCCACTGGGGCATCGATGGCTAATTACATTGGTCTCAATTTGCTTTTGAAAACTGTTTAGGAATGATCCTAATGAATGTCTTTATTGATGAGCTGCCCTGGTATGTAAATTCATTTTGCCTTTACTTGTATTGAGAGTGTGAAATTCCAGCAACGCATGTGAGCATGTGGCATACTTGCTGCAGGAGAAGGGAAAGAAGGAATTTCCAAGTACGGATTTCTTTTCTTTTCTTTCCTTTTTTTTTTTTTTTAAATAAGCACTCTACTGACTAAGCTATATTCTCAGCCCTGATCTGTAATCTTTTTTTTTAAATATTTTATTTACATTTTAGTTTTCGGCAGACACAACATCTTTGTTTGTATGTAGTGCTGAGGATCCAGCCCGGGCCGCACCCATGCCAGGGGAGCGCGCTATCACTTGAGCCACATCCCCAGTCCCCCAAATACAGATTTCTGGAATATGCACGTGCATATGAGTGTGTGTGTGTGTGTGCGTGCGTGCACGCGTGCGAGCATGCTGCACACACACACATACACACACACAAAATCTATCCATCCCTTAAAGTTTTTGTTTGTGTTAGATATAGATATAGATATAGATATATCCCTAAAAGTATTTGTAGAAAACACAGAAGACGAATTATGTAACATCAGGATGAAAAGACTGCTTAAGCAAGACAGGAAACCCAGAGGCCATAAAGGAAAAAAAAAAAAAAAAAGAAATGACTGATTTGAATACTGGAACATTTTGAACTCCTGCATGATGAAAGACAACACAGATAAAGTTAAGACTTGGGTGAAATCTTTGAAACCTTCAACAGAGGGAGGATGAAGATGCCTCAGGTCAAACGCAGACTCCTAGTGCACCGTACCTGCTTCAGACTCTGACTCCTACTTCGTCTCTCCGTGTTTCAAAGCACAGTGTCTTGTCTCTCTGCTGACAGATGGCCATGATTAATGTACAAAGAGTGCCTATGAGTAAGAACAACTTGAACATCCCAACAGAAAAATAGGCAAGGAATATAAACAAAGAATTCAGAGAAGAAAGGCAGATGGCTAATAAGCATGAAATGCAAACGTTAAAAAATTAATAGAATCCAGTGCTCACAAAGATATATTGAAGAGGACTCTCATCCACTGTGAATGCAAGCATCCATCAGCACAAGTTTAGGAGTGAAGTGATTTGGTAGAATCTACTAGAGTTTTAAATGTCTATAATTTTTGACCCAGAAATCTCACATGCAAGGGATTGAAATCATAACATAGATACATAAACATGCATGCCCTTTGCAGCAAGATTTGTAGTAGCAAAAAATTGAACCAAGCTAAAAAAAAATCAGTAGGCTGTGTTAATTTCGATATACCCATATTAGGAAATACTATTTGGTCACTGAAAAGAATGATATTTTATATGTGTTGATTTGAAATGATACATATGATATGTTGTTGAATATAAATAAAGCAGGTGTCAGAACAATACATGCAGTAATATTTGGTCTATAAAAATATACATAGGGATATGTACATATTTGTGTCATTATAAGCCTTGGGTAAAGTCTGAAAGTATTGAAGCAAAGTGTCCCTAATGCACATCTGGAAAGGGGATTTGGTTGATAAAGAAGACTTTGACCTCTCTGTTTACATATATTTTTAACAGATTCAATCACTATCTCCACTTTATATATAAGTTTGCTGAGGCTTATAGATGTTATCACTCACACACATCAAATGATGAAGCTGCAGAACCAGGACTGCAGGCGAAGTTCACCTGGCCCCTAAGTCCATGATCCTTCTAGTTGCCATGCTGCTCCCAGGGTGGGTTCGAAGAAATAGCTCACATTATAGGATTCCACCTGGGCTTTTATGGATCCAGGCAGACAGGCATCAGTATATGATCAGCCCCCAGAGCCATTTCTTGGGTGATTTCTGTTCACAGAGAGGCAAGGGGTGAGTTTCAGGGATGCCCTGGGGGAAGGTGCTCTGCTTCCAACCTAAGCCTCTGTTTTGGGATCCTCAGAATTCTATGGCAGGCCCTGGAGAGTGGTCACTGAGGCACCTAGATGGTCTCTCTGGGCTGCGGCTTTTTGAGGAAAGGTTACACAGTCTAGGTGTGACTTGCTTCCTACCTGCCAACCTAGAGGCCAAAGAGGGACCTGAGCATCAAGCGGCCTTGTTGCCTCAGATCAAAGGCAGTCTGGCTTCACTGCCTGGAACACCTCTGTTTTCCCTTAGTACCATACCCTCATTGGCAGGGTGTCCAAAAGGTGATGTGCCTGTGGTCTTATCCACAGGTTTTCTGAGAGAAGCAAAAGAAGGGTTCCTGGACTCTTCTCCTGAAGGCAACTGTTACAAGAAAAGACAAATTCCTAATCTAAAGGAAGGAAGCCAAGACTGTGACGTCCTGCCCCTCCTGAGAGGGCCCTCCCTGCATCCTTGCTGTGCTGAGAAGACCTTCAGCCCTGTTGTCCTCTACAGAGAGCAGAGAAAAGGCCACGGCACAGGCTGGCTCGCTCTGGTGCCCTGTCTCCTTGTTTTCCTGTGCTAGTGCTGTTTTGGCTAACTCTCTGGCCTCCTGCCTGAACCAATATAACAGTGCCACCCTATCCTGGTTGACATACCGGACTTGGCTTCTCCCCTGTGGTCTCATGGTGCTCACCTGATGCTACCTTCCTTATACACCCTTCCGGAATTTCTCAGTCAGGGCCCTCTGAACAGCCGTGTCCTGGCTGACAAGCTGACACATTGAAAATTCCAAAGCCATCAGGGGTCACTTTGACTCATCATCCTATCTACATGCACACACAAGCTGGTCAACTTATAAGGACCTGCCTTTAGATGGTAAATCCCCTGTGAGGGCACTGACCATGTCTGCATGTCTGCTTTGTCCACCAGTGGTAGGACCTCATACATAGATGGTTCCCATAAGAACCTGGTGACTAAATGAATACTGGATGAATCCACTTACATTCTCTTCTCCCCTGCCACATATGACAGCTTAAATCATTGCAGATAATCCACTTGAGCAGAGTTTTTCTGTAAGTAACCATCTAATAAATATTTGAAGTTTGAGGGCAAGAAGCAAAATCTAAGCTCTTATATAGGAACTTGGAAGGCAAAGGAAGAAAACAAATTTCTATGAGAATTTTATTGATGAAGTTCAAAATATAATAATAAAAATTGGGTAGACCTTGTGGGTAATATAGGTCTCCTAATGATAATAATAAAATTCCTTTTTGAGGAATAACATTTGGCTTAGTTGAGATTCAAAGTGTCTTCTATCATTAAATTGTATTGCAATTGTTCATCTGTTAGTGCTGATGTGTAACAAGATTTTATGTATTTCATCTTTGAAAATGACAGTTGAATTTCACATAATTTGCACATGTCATAAAATCTTTTTTTAAAAAAAATGATGGAAGTTTTTAGGCAGTGTAAAAATAGTCAGTGGTTGGGTTTGGCTACAGGCTGTAGATTATCAAACTTACAGCATAATAGAGAGTAGGGGCTTCACATTCTTTCTCTTGCCTCTGTCTCCCATATTTGTGCTTTGGAAAACCTTAAGGTTTCAGAGACACTTTCACTCCCTTTCCTGGTGCCTCTTCCTTCTTGAAGAAGGAAACAAGGCTGAGCCAGTCTACTCCAAAGAAGAGCTCCCGGGGCTTCGTTATGGCTTCGTTATTGCTCAACCACTTCAGAGTGGAGGCAGAACTGCTATCCGCCCTTCCTTTTCCAAAGCTGGCGTTAGCTCTTTGTCAACGGCACAAAAACCGCTGGGAAGGACTTGCTTGTGGTTCATCTCCAGCCCAAACCACACAGAGAGGGGAGGCCTCCAAAAGGCTAGGTTAATGGAAACCAGTTGTGTTCTCCCAGCCCTGTGTACAGAGGGTATAAATTCAAATGCCTAAAATCTCTGTACATCCTGAAGAACGTATCATTTTGGGAAGGCAACTGACCACAGCACAAAATGCAATGCTGGCAAAATGACATAAATAATGCACTGCAAAGACCTCACTTTTTGTAGATGTGAGGAGTACTAAGGAGATCAGGGACTTGGGAGAGCATCAATCATTCATTGACTCATTCATTTATTCAACAAATTTTTCAAGGGTCTGTGATGTTCAGGGCTTATATCAGGCCCTGAGCACACTGCCGAAAATACAGTCACCCTTCAGTTTCCACTGGCCCTTGGTTCCAGGACCTTGTAGTTACCCAAACCCACAAATGTCCAGGTCTCTTACATAAATGGCGTAGTACTTGCATATAGCCTCTACACACAATTCTATGTACTTTGTCATCTCTAAATCACTCATAGTAACTAATATAATGCAAATTTTATGTAAATAATTGATATACTATATTGTTTAGAGAATAATGACAGGAAAAAAGGTCTGTACATGTTCAGTACAGAAACAATTTTTATTCCAAATGTTTTTGATCTATGTATGGCTGGTTGAAACTGTGGATGTAGAACCCATGGGTATG